AAAAAAAAAAAAAAAAAAAAAAAAGAACTGAATCATTCCTCAGCTTACCCATCCAATAATGATAACCAAAAACAATCTTCGCTCACTCTACATTTGTACCCATTTATTTGGGTCTACTTCGTGTTTGTTTTTTTTTTTTTTTTTAAATAAGAAAGTAGCATGACCATTGGAGTGCATTTTTCCCATTTGGAAGTTGACGACATTGTTGAGCAAATGAGGCTGCCTAACTAGATTCTGATTTTATATTTGTAACAGGCTCTATGCAAGACTTGTAATCTTGTTTATAGACTTCATAAAATAGGTTCTCAATCCATGATATGAAATGTATCTTTAGTTATTGGATGAATATTTATAATATATTTTTACTGTGTCTGTATCTTTTCTTTGTTGGCTAAATTTCATCTTGTGCAGACATGCCATTTTTTTTAGGGAAAATATTTGACCAATTTGTCACCCTTTGATTTCATAGGAAGTTGCTGTGAAGAGGTTTTTGGATCAGGACATTTATGGTGAATCACTTGAGGAATTCAAAAGTGAGGTACAAGCTTATCCTTGTTTTCTCTCTGGTTATATCAAATGTTAATTCAGCCTCTCTTCTATTGTGTTTTCAACTAAAACTAAGTTAAAAATCTTATTTTGATTCAAACTTGAGATCTTTGGCTTGGAGGTTGCACATTCAAATCAGTGGACCGTCCCCTAGGGGACATAAAACATTATTTTTTTTTTATTGATTTTGATCATTTTGATATTGGTTTTAATTGCAAGGTCCAAATCATGAAACAGCTTAGGCATCCAAATGTTGTTCTCTTCATGGGAGCTGCAACCCGTGCTCCAAATCTTTCAATCATCACAGAATTTCTACCAAGGTATGCAGCCACTTTGTATTGTTTTTGTTAATCATTCTGCAATGCTAAAGGTGTTTTATCATACAAATTTCACTTGCTGTTCAGAAAAGCTCTGATTTTAGTGTGGTCCACAGTCCACTGTATCAGTATGCTGCAAAACACTAAGATACTTATACTGTCTACTGACCCTATGGAAGAGAATGATGAAGAAATGCGGATCTTTGTCAAGAACCCTCACCATAAACAAAATGGGCTGGAAGCTAAAGACACCATAAGCCAATGACATGGCCTTAAAAAGATCTTATTATACAGGAATAATAGTTAAAGGTGTCTGATCAAAAAATAAGAGGTTAAAAGTCTGTCCAAGAGAATATCCAATGATAATTTGTTTCTTGAATCATAGTTTTATCATTGAAATTAAATCTTTTATGATTGGCAATTTTGACTATTTGCCCTGTTCTTGAAACTTGCCAGTATCACTCGATGCTTGGCATTTTGTTTATTTACTTTGTTATGATGTTGTTATAGGCTAGTTGTTTTTCATCCTGTTTTCCAGAGGCAGTTTGTATAGGTTACTTCATCGGCCTAACAATCAACTTGACGAACGAAGGCGTTTGAGGATGGCCCTTGATGCTGTATGATTCTGCTGCTTTTGCCTTACATTCTAATATCAGAATCTTAAAATGCAGTTAATCACTGAGTCTTCATTTGTCTCTTCTGAATATCTGAACCTTCAGGCTCGAGGAATGAATTACTTGCACAACCGCACACCAGTGATTGTACACCGTGATTTGAAGTCTCCAAATCTTCTAGTTGACAAAAATTGGGTTGTCAAGGTCACATTTATTCTCTTCACTACTAATTAATGCTTATTCTGGTAGAAGTTTCTTTTATGCCTAATCAACTGCTGCATGCACTTGTGATTTAGGTTTGTGATTTCGGGTTGTCAAGGATGAAGCACAGCACGTATCTGTCTTCAAAATCAACTGCAGGCACGGTAAGCCATTCTGAACTTGGTTTGAGTCAAACTTTTGGTGGATGAATAATGAATCATCAAAAATTTACATTACAAAATATTTTGATTTGATAAATAGATTTTCCTTTTCTTTTTACTTGCCAGTAAATAGATTCAGGTTAAAATGCAAAGACTAGTTCTGCTGTCTTCTAGAAAGATCCAGAGGAAAGCATATACCTCTGGATCTTGAGTGGTTAGTGAATACTGAGCTAAGGGTTTTCTACTAAGGCATAAATTTTTTAGTAAAAGGCTAACGAATAGTTTGCTCTATGCTCACCACAAGGCTCCCTCAACCAAGGCATATTTTTAAGGTGTTTAGTAACTATATGCCTACTTGAAGTACAAATTACACACCATTTATTTATGGATAATTTAAATGGATATATATCTTAAAGAAATTACTATAATGCTGGTAGTATAATCCATCCCTGTCTCTTTTATCTTTTAGTTTATGGAAACAAATAATGCATTTTCAGTCCCCAACTGTTCTCTTCCCTAAAAGCTCATAACTTTTATTTCAAATCCCTGAGTATGCTTCTTGCAGTTATGCTGTATCAGATGTAACAGTTGTCCTTAACCAAGTTTATGTTGTATTACTTTTCTACAGGCTGAGTGGATGGCTCCAGAAGTGCTCAGAAATGAACCTTCAAATGAAAAGTATGCTTTTCTTCTTTGCTGGTCAATGTTTGTACTGCTACCATACCATCATAGTCATTCATCATTTACAATTTTCATAAATCATGGTTTGGCTTGCAGGTGTGATGTTTATAGCTTTGGGGTTATCTTGTGGGAGCTCTGTACGTTACAACAACCATGGGGGGGAATGAATGCAATGCAAGTGGTTGGTGCGGTAGGATTTCAGCATCGCCGCCTTGATATTCCAGATGATATGGATCCTGCCATTGCAGACATTATTAGAAAGTGCTGGCAGACGTGAGTAAATTTTGGGTTATTTTCTTCCTGAGTGATATCTGTTTTAAGTTGTCCGTTTTCAAAGTCTCACATGTACAGATATAAACATGTGCACACACACAAACACTTACATATACACATCACCGGACCTTTTGAATTGCATAAAGGACTGTCAACAAAAACTGTTTGATGTTTCAATTACTTGTTGGGGTTCACATGTACATGTGATAGTTGCATTGTATTAGATATGATGAGAATGAGAATAAATATATATGTTGAGAATGAATCTGATAGGTTAATCTTTTAAAATGTTCCTTGAAGCATGTGCACCGGGCTCGAGCTACCCATGGGCCAAAGTCCCGCTTAGTGAAAAAACTACCCACCTCATGTTGTGAGGAATTTGATGTCAATGAATCATTTTTGTTTTGCTTTGGTGCATGTTTATTGTTCCTCTCATGCATTGTATTTATTTGGCATTTTGTTTGTCTTATTTTTCTCATCTTATTCTCTCATTTTCAGTCCTGTGAGTTTACCTTTATCCTAAAAATTGCAGAGATCCAAAGTTGAGACCAACATTTGCAGAAATCATGGCTGCATTGAAGCCATTACAAAAACCTATATCCAGTACACAAGTGCCTCGATCAATTGCATCTAGCCGGCAGAAGGGTCAACCATCAAGAGATGCAGAAGAACAAGCAGGCTAGAAGCTTTAACTTCTTGGATCGCCGAGTTGCTTCCATTGGGCAAGTCTTGCACTGTTTGTGAATTATGAGCCAACATTAAACTCACTCCCATGTTGTGATTCTTTTTCCAAGTTGCCCCTTTACACCACTTTATTCATGATGATAAAAGTATTTATAAAGTTTTGTATCTGTTTGTAAAAAAAAAAAAAGAATGAAAAAAATTCATATTGAAATTGCTGTAACTGTCATGGAGCCATTTTCTTGTTCAAAATTCATATTCTTTTCAAGGATAGGTTATTCTTGCAGAGTTCCTACAGCCAAACAGTCCCTTATCGCTTGTGTGAGGATAAGGTTTTGGATTAAAGGCCAACCTCTTCTCACTGTAGCGGAAGAAGATAATTGCTCTTCCTTCCTCTGCTGCTTTCTTACCCAATACTTTATCCAATGCTAAAATGGCTTCCTTCTTGAGTTCTCCACCATTTCTCTCCCACCCACCAACTAGAACTCATCACTTTTCGTCCTCATCACAAACGCCACCTCCTCGTACTCCACCTTCACAGCTACAGCCTCCAACTCCACCACCACAGAAGCTAAGCGCATCCTCGTCTGAACAGCAACCACCGGTCCCCAAGGTACAAAAACAGAAGCCTGCTAAACCTACCACCACTGTAGAAACCACAGACTGGATAGCTTCTTCCTTGACCAGACGCTTTGGCCTAGGTGCAGGACTTGCATGGGCTGCCTTTCTTGCCTTTGGAGTAATTTCTGAACAGATTAAAACTCGCCTTGAAGTTTCCCAACAAGAAGCAAACACAAGGTTTGTGTTCTCCCGTTTCTGAGTCCATGGCACATTTGAACTGCACCTACAAGTTAGATCAGTTCTTGAACCTACGATTTTTATTTGAACAGAGATGTTGAGAATCAAGAAGAGGTTGTGCTGCCCAATGGCATAAGGTACATTTTCTTATCTTCAATAGACGGCATAAGGTGCATCCTAAATTTATTAACTTACTGGTCCAGTGGACATACTAGTCTCAAGAAGTTTTAGGTTCAAATATATCCAAATAATATGGAACCATGTTAACGGCAACATTTTGTAGGGCTAATGAACAGTTGTGAAAACAGATATTATGAGTTGAGAGTTGGAGGCGGCACATCTCCGAGGACAGGGGACCTGGTGGTGATTGATTTGAAGGGGAAGGTTGAAGGCAGTGGAGAAGTGTTTGTTGACACATTTGGTGGGGAGAAGAAGCCTCTAGCACTTGTGATGGGATCAAGGCCATATAGCAGGGGAATGTGTGAGGGGGTAGAGTATGTGTTGAGATCAATGAAGGCGGGGGGGAAAAGGAGAGTGATTGTTCCTCCAAGTTTGGGGTTCGGAGAGAAGGGAGCAGAGTTTGGTACAGGCCTGCAGATTCCACCCTTTGCCACTCTTGAGTACATTGTTGAGGTTGAAAAAGTTTCCATTGCACCGGCATGAATATT